CCTGTTATACAGAACCAGACCTTTTTGTCTCCTTTGTAATCAGCTTGTCCCTGGTCGTCCCCCTTTTCAGGGTCTTTTTCTTGGGTTCTTTTGTGCTTTGTAAGGGCCCAAGCCTGCACCTTGTCTATATCGTAAACTCTTGGTGGGGCTAGGTGGAAAGACATCAGTTGTTGTCACGTTTGCTTGAGTGAGCTCTGAGAACCACCCCGCCTGCCAGTTTCACCTCTAGCAGCTTTGGGACACAATATTCCACCTGTCACATGACTCTTAATCTCTTCCACATGCACATCCCACAGTAACCATGACAACCAGCGAATTGGTAGCTTTCGGCAGGGACCACATGGTCCCCTTTGCTGAAATAGCATGAAGATGACAATCACAGGGAAAACATGCCCATCTGGGTAGACCTAGGTAAGTCCCTGGGTACGTACTTAACTGTCTGCCCCCGACTGTGGCCAACATGGGGTACTTGGATCACCTTCTCTCCCAGGATATTGCAGAACAGGAAGGGGTTCAGAGAAGAGCAGTGGGAATGATCAAGGGCCTGTAAAAACTCTCCAGGAAGATGGAAGAGATTGGGATTTTTACCTTAGAAAGGAGATTAAGAGCAGACACGACAGCGAGAAAAATAGTAGAGGAGGGAGAGCAGGAACATCTCTTCTCCCTGCACAAGAACGGCGGACTTCAGTCCTTAAAAGGAAAAGGAGAAAAGGAAACACTTTCTCTCACACACCCAGAACCCAATGTGTAACTAGCCTGCGGAACACTCTGCCACAGGAAGTCGCTGAAGCCAGAATTTAGTAAGCTGCGAAAAGGGACTGGACACTTGCGGATCAAAACTATTCAGCGTGATCATAGTCTATGATGATTGTGGCAGCAACATTAAACCTCTTGGTTCAGGGCTTACATCCGTCTCTAGCTCTTAGATACCATGGTGAGGTCTGTGGGGGGGAAAGAGTATCCCATATCTGCTACCCCAGGGTCTCTCCTCTTCCTCAGCACTGTCAGACAGGGAACCTGGTTTGGTCCGGTCGGGAGGCTCCTATGTTCATAAGCATCCTTTGGTAGGTAGGTGCTACTGGGTTGGTTCCCAAGTAAGTCCTTAAATTACAAAAATCTTGTTTTATATGGACAGAACTGCCTATTTCTGCCTGTTCTACTGCCAGTTCTGCGTTCTCCTTCTCCCCTAGTACAGCACGAGTGACGGGGAGAAAAGCTGGGCAGCAGAGTGACTTCTCTGCTCTCCTCATTCATCCCTCCCTGGCATCTGCTAAATGGCTGCAATACAATTTGTGATGTGTTAACTGCTGTTCAGCGGGGAGATGGGGCCCTACCATTGTGTTAGCGCTTGTTAATTTCCCTTCATGCTACTAGTGTGTTCAGCTTTGGAGAGCTCCTTGGAGGGCCCAGGCTGGGCTTAGGCCTGGCGCCTCCAGCCTCTGCATTGCACAGGGGAGAGGCTCTGCCTCCTGGTTGTAATGAGGAGAGAACTGTCAGGCAAGCCCCCCGGCACTGGGCAGGGAGGGAGGAGGCACAGGCTGGGTTTGGCTTGGCCAGTGACTTCACTGCCTCTTTTTTCAGCTTCTCCCAGTCCCCAGCACTGGAGCTGGACAAGTTCCTGGAGGATGTGAGGTAAGAGGCCTTCCCCCTCCTATGCTGTGAGACTCCCCTGCCTGCAGCTCGCCCTGGGCAGGTCCCAGATGCTGCTTCTGCTCACCGGGAGAAGGCGAACGCCCTCCATAACGCTGCTCCTCTTGCAGGAACGGCATCTACCCACTCACGGCCTTTGGGATGCCTCGGCCCCAGCAGCCTCAGCAGGAGGTGGTGAAGTCCCCCATTGTCCCCCCGTCAGTGAAGACCCCAACGCCAGAACCTGCCGAGGTGGAGACCCGCAAGGTGAGAGCGGGAGATGCTGCTGCCCTCCCTGTAGTGTCTGCACCGTGCCGGGACAGCTGGAGTCACATGGCCTCTCTGCTTCCCTTTCAGGTGGTGCTAATGCAGTGTAACATTGAGTCAGTGGAGGAGGGAGTCAAACACCATGTACGTTTCCGTCTCCCTCTTGCACACGCATGCTCTGCACGGCCGGCTCTAAGGCACCATTGCTGGGCAGGCTGCGCCAAGTGTCTCGGCTCCGCCGTGGCAGCAGTAGTGGGGTGAGCGGAGCTGGCTCCAGCATGCAGGCCCCAAAGCCAGAGCAGCGCGTGGCAGCCCACCTGGTGCAGCGCAGTCCCTGCGGGGTGAGCGCGTGGCGTTTCCTGGCTTGGGTGCGGTGCATTCTGTCCCAGGGGGAGCGGAGGGGGCCGGCTCCAGGCACTGCTCAAAGTACCCCCCACCGTCAAGGGCACTGGCCACCAGGGCTGGGGGAGGGGCTCCCCCAGATCATGCAGGAATTGCAGCTCCTTCTCATGCTCACCTTTCTCCTGCAGCTGACCCTGCTGCTGAAACTGGAAGACAAATTGAATCGACACTTGAGCTGTGACTTACTGCCCAGTAAGTACCTGCCCTTCCTCTCCCCCGGGGCGTCCCACCAGCCCAGGACTCACTCACTCCTCTCTCTTGTAGATGACAATATCCAGGAGCTGGCGGCCGAGCTGGTGCAGCTGGGATTCATCAGTGAGGTGAGCTCCTGCCTCACCCTCACTGGCACAAGGGGGAACTGGCTGCATGGGCTCCCCCCATGCAAGCGTGTTCCTGTGTCAGCCCCCTCCCCTCAGCGCCCAGGCCACAGCCTTTCTTGTCCTGCCATCCCCCCAGTCTTCCCCTTCCCGGGGCCAAGCTCCTGTCTCTCAGGTGTGGGCTTGGTCAGCCCCATGGCCCAGACACACTGCTAACGGTGCTCTGCTCTCCCTAGGCCGACCAGAGCAGACTCAGCTGTTTACTTGAAGAGGCGTTTAACAAGTTCCACCTTGCCCGGAACGGAGCCCTGACGGCGGTGACCGTGTCATCCTAGCAGCCCCTCCAGGCTGGCTGGCGTTGCTTAGTTGCCCGTGACCCTTTTCTGAGTCTGTCCATCTGTGTAGGGCACCAGCAAGACCCTAGACGCTGCGCTTGGAAGCTCATCCTGCATGTGCCGTCGCCAGGCCCAGCGACAGTCTGCCCTGCCTACCTATTAAAGGGGACTTTGCGCGTCAGTATTATTTCAGCCGTGTTTTGTTGGGAGTGTGTGGGGCGGCGTGGCCAGCCGGGCCGCGGGAATGTGCATGGCATTTGGTCTGTTGGAACTGTACAAAGGTTGGTGGGTTTTCTTTTGCACAGGACAGAAATCTTTTTATTTAAAGGTAGGAAAGAGGGGAGCCCCCTGTCCCCATATGCACCACATCTGGCATCTGCCTCTAGTACCGTTCTGTATTCACTCCCCAGGGCAGGGGTGAGGGGGGCTCTGCAACGTGCCCTGCTCACCCTCGCCCCAGCAGCCCTTTGGCGCTTCATCACTTGTTTACGTGTTGCACAGCAGCTTGGCAGGGGTAGGGCAGGGGCCGGAGGGGCGACCGCTCTCCTGGAGCGAGCGGGGCAGGGGTGTGGCTGGGAGCAGGTGCTTGGAGCACTCGTGGGTGCCCTATCGGGGGCTCCTCTCACTGCTGACACCGGAGCCCCCCTCTGAGCCCGGCCCCTGTGAGCGGGCAGAGCCTTAGTCCTGGATTCCTGCCCCACGTCTCCTGGAGCAGGGGCCTCACCTGAGCAGGGCCCTTGACTCCATCCCTCCTCTCCCTGCCGCAGCCCCATCCCCGGAGCCGGGGCCTCGGCTCTGGCAGCTGCCGCTGTACCACGGAGCCTCCTGTGTCTAGTTTCTATCAGTTCCTATTTTTAATAAACGGTTTTGTAAATAAGTAAATGCTGCTTCTTTGCCATGTGTGCTGGGCCCTGGCCCCCCCCCTTCCATGCTGCGGGGGCTGGGCCCCG